GAAGCAATGGGAAAACCCTACATTCAATCTAAGCAATAGTCGAGAAGCTGCTTTAAATGCCCTTCCCCTATATTGAGATTGATGACAATGTTAAATACCATCATAGAGCCTTCATCCAGTGGCTGATGAAGGCAGAAGCAGAGATTCAGAGCTAAGTACTGAGTCGAAATCCTAGAATCCAGCTGTAGAGAGGGAGGAGTGATGAGCAAAGGGGTCAAGATCATGCTGGGGAAACCCACAGAAACAACAGACCTGAGCAAGTAGGAGCTCAGAGACCCCAGACAGACTGCTGGGGAACCAGCATAGGACCCCTGAATATGGGCAAAAGTTGGAGCCTTGGGCAGTCTATGGGACCTCTGGCAATGAACAAGTATTTATTTATCCCTAGTGTAAGAATGGGCTTTCGAACTGGGATTGCCATGTAATTCAACCTTGTTTGTAATTCAAATTTTAAAAAAAGTATAAAAAAAGAATGGGCTTTGGGAGCCCATTCCCTATGAGAGTTACTCTCTCAGCCTTGATACATGTGGTGTTCCTAGGTCCTGCCCCAAATGATGTGACAGACTTTGATGATGTCCCATGGGAGGCCTCACCCTCCCTAAGGAATGGATCGGGTGGGATGGGGAATTGGTGGGGGCAATGGGGAGACAAATGGGGAGGGAACTGGGATTGGTGTGCAAAATAGGATTGCTTTTAATTTGAATAAAAATGAACTTAAAATATTTGAAGCTGCATATTCTTGTGTGGGCATGCATGCCCATGTGTGATGGAAAGTGGGCTGTGAGCTTCATTCGCAGGGAATAAATAATGGGAACTGTGTCTCATCAAATTGAAGAAGAATAAGAATGTAATCAAATGTCAACAATCAAGATCTGGACTACCTGGAAAAATGATAGAAAATCACTCGCTGCTCCAACAGCAAAACTCTATATACAGTATGGCTGTACTGGGAGCCACAAAGACACAGTCTACACTCGAGATCCAGCCACCTAGATTCTGCCCAATACTGAGGTGGAGTCAAGACAGAGCATCCCGTTCATGCCACCATGAGCTGTTTGTGAAAAAAACAGGAGCCATCCTCAGCTGGGAAAATGCTAATTGACACATAGGTTTAAAGGACTAACCCAGCAGAATCCATCTGGTTACATGGTCAGCCATTGTGGTGACTTAGAGTAACATGGGTGGAGGCCATGGGGCAAGGTTGAAGAAGAATCGTGACCCTACATCCTGGATGGTTCATATCCACCAGCAAATGTGATGCCTCTGTTAGAACTCTGCATCTAACTCACCCGTGTCAGAGGACATTGATGACACGCTATGTGTCAGTCATCTGAAGCAAGTTCACCACATGGAACTCATCAACCATGTCAAATGTAGGTGTTCAGTTTTGCACTGTTGCATAGAAAAAGCAGGGTCACCCCAGGGTGAATTTTGGCTTTTACAGCAGCAGGGGAACCAGACTCTAGTGAAGTGACTGACTTTTGCTTCACAAAAACCGTTTTATTGTTGTACAATTTACACCTAAGCAAGTCAATGTCACTACCAAAAGCTCTTATCTGAGTCTCCCCAACAGAGACAAAAGCCAAAGCAATTCTTGGGTAAAGGACCTCTCTGGTTCCTGAGTCCTCCTATCACATAGTTTTGCAACTTTCAGGAAGAACTCAGATAAGATTTACAGAGTTCAAACAAAGGAGAGTGAACACAAAGGATAATAGTCACAAAAGGCAAATTAGAGCCCAGGTGCTAACACTGTGACTTACACTGCCCAACCAAGAGAGGGCAACACCTGCCCTCACTGATCATCATGCCTGTGGGAGGCAAGAGAATTTCTCTGAGTTCCACCCCAGTCTGGCCTACAGAACCAGTTCCCTGACAGCCAGGGTTCCAGAGAGAGTCTGTCCCAAAACAACAACAAATATAATTAAGCCCATAAGGATAAGAAAATGATAGCAGATAAAAAAAATTAAAGGAAGATCAGAAGTTTAAAGTTCCAGGATAAAGTGGGTGTGGCTCAGGGGAGGAGTATGGATGGAGGTCCCGCCATCAAACCCTAGCACCAAATTAAAAGAAAAGAAAATAGCTTTACTGAGCTCTTTCCCTTCATCTAGGTGGTTGAACAGACACCAAAATACAGGACTTTGGCAAGGTCCTAAATGGAAAGACCATCGACACTCTAGGTCCAGCCAAGTGAGTGACTACATTGAAAATAGATGTAGGCTGTAAGAGCAAAGTTCCTAGCACTAAGTGCCTACATAAAGAAAGTGGAGAAATCTCACACTAATGACTTAACAGCACACCTGAAAGACCTAGAATTAAAAGAATCAGACTCACCCAGGAAATAATCAACCTGAAGGCTGTGATCAATATAATAGAAACAAAGAAAATAAAACAAAGAGTTGGTTCTTTGGGAAAACCAACAAGATAGACCAGCCTTTATCCAAACCAACCAAAAGGTAGAGCGAGAACATTCAAATTAACAAAATCTGAAATGAAATGGAGGATATACCAACAGACACTGAGGAAATCCAGAGAATCATCAGGTCATACTTTGGAAAACCCATACCCCACAAAATTGAAAAACCAAGAAGAAATGGACATTAAAGAGAAATCTGGCAGTAGGGAAATGTTCAGAGATTGACAAGGATGGTCCCAAATAAGAATCTAGGCAGTACTGGAGAGGCTGCCTTTGATGCCCTTCCCCTATAATGAGATTGATGACTACCTTAGTTGCCATCCTAGAACCTTCATCCAGTAGGTGACCAAAGCAAAAGCAGGCACCTACAGCTAAGCACTGAGCTATACTCCTGGAATCCAGTTGTAGAGAGGGTGGAGGGATGAGCAAAGAAGCCATGACCATGTATGAGAAAACCCCAGAAACAGTTGGCCTGACCTAGTAAGACACAGAGACCCCAATCGTAAACCTGGGCAACCAGCATTGGACCGAACCAAGCCTTCTGAATGTGGGTGCCAGGTAGGAGGCCTGGGAAGTCTATGGGACCTCTAACATTGGAGCCAATATTTTTCTCTAGAGCACAAATGGACTTTGGGAGCCCATTCCATATGGAGGAATAGTATTGTAGCCCAGATACATGGAGGAGGGCCTGTGCCCTCCCCTAAATGATATGACAGACTTTGAC